ATACAATATGTTCCAAGCACGCAGTGTTCTTGAGGCCACATATTAAGGCCATTTATACGAGAAAAATAAGGCGCGGCTTACATAAGACGCCAACTTACCGTATAAACGGTACATTTTAGTCAGTTCACGTCTTACACAAACCGCAGATAACATAAGCCACGGCTTGTGTAAGACAAGGGTTTTGAGCTCGGCTTATATAAGACGCGAAACCACTGGTATAAATAGTAGCGCGGCTCACGTAAGGCTCGCGAACTGACACTGCGCAAGTACAACTTTTTCCCGCGCTCGAGCCGCGCTCGAGGGACAGCTCGCGCAATTCCCCGATTGCTATGACAACCATCACAAAAGCGAGGCATTAGTCATGAATAAGGCGTGAACCATTTATCGAGCATTCGCGTCTTATATAAGCCGCGCTCGTATAAATGGTCCAGTTCGCATCTTATGTTAGCCGCGGCTTGTGTAATCTGCGGCTTATTTTATTCGTATAAATGGCCCTAATATTTTTTCAAGTGCTAACTATGCTCTCATTTTTAATGATAAGTTTTTACTCTGCAATAGAAATTGGTCCACATTCATTGTGTAGAAAGAAGGTGATCTCTGCATGCAAATCAAATAAAAAAAACTCTTTAGATCCCGCTACTCGTTTCCGAGGAAAAAACGATGATTTGTCTCTCGCAAGCCAAGCCTTTTAGAAAAAGCCATCATATTGTAGATTTTGTGTATGTGGACGCGCTCGTGAGACGTCAAAATCGTGCGCCGTAGGGATGCGCAATGCAATTCCGAGAAATCGCCTTAAGAGGAACAACAGCTAGAACCAACTATGCAATCTTATTTTTTCACTTAGCTTCTTTCCTCTCCTCTGACTCTTGTGCATTAGCTCCCGAAACGATCCTGTTCCTGAAATGATATCCAAATTATTACCCGATATGACAAGACCCAAGTTAGAAACGGAGAAGCGTGTAGTACTGCTGATCGTGATATCACTTCAGAGCATTGAATTTCAAAATAAAATAGATAGTCAAAATTTGTAGGCAGTGTTTGCACTGTTCACCAGCACTACAGAAAGGCGAGGTGGCTAAAATTTACAATTAAATAAACTCAAAGATGGTACATGAAAAATTTTAAGCTAGTTTATCTGTCACAGTACCGTATTGAAGTTTATCATTACCGGGATTTGAGGGGGGAAGGGGAGGGGATGTTAAACATAGCGACAAGCACAAAATGAAGTAGTATTAGGTGAGTCAAGCGAAGCGGAGAATGTGCCGTACGTTGGATATAGGGTACTTATTTGGGACGGGGCGATATGGGGGTTGGACTTTGCTGACATGACGTGTGTGCCTTCTCATGAATCTTAAAGCTTGTGCATAGTCCAAAGGTAATTTTGGGCAATTTTCTGCTTTTGTTTTGGCTAATTGGTTTCCTTTCTTCCTTTATTTTGCCTCTTTCTTTC